GCTATTTGGTGAATGTTGAAATGTGAAGATTAGCTGCTGTGCTTGTCTACATAACACTTATAGGATTACACTTCTTGTTTGGTGAGTTTCTTTATAGCAACTCTAATTCATAAACTTAATCCTAACATTCTTTTTCTATGGCATAATATACAGAGTGAAGAAATATTTGAAACCACAGTATTTATTGACATTGTAGTTGAACTGTGAAAGTTTGAGTAAACATTGATAAATCGCCAGATTTCAGTGCTTTTATGTTGTACTATTGTTTTGTCAAGTATATTTTCTCTAGGCCATTTTATATCCACTGAAGCATGGGAGGAAATTTTATCATAGCACTTTTATGATCAGAATGTGTCATATGGCGTATTTTCTGTCATTTGACCGATTCAAAGCAGGACACTAAGGCACACTTATTTTCTTTTCTGCATTGATCTTGGTAGTTAGGGAGTAATTTTAATTATAACAGGTCAGAAAGAATCAAGGTACAATGCTACACTGGCAGGGGCTTCTGAAGTCTGCCATAGTCTTTTTCCTTAGGCCAGGGATCCCCTCGAATATTGACCCTGACCCCAGAAAGTCAGCTTATTTCAGGGACCTAGCGTTGTAGTGAATGAAACTCCTGTGACACCAAAATGCAATTCTTTCCACAGGTTTTGGAGTTTCAAGTTAAATCTTCCAATTGCCTTTTCCTCATTGTTGGCGCTAAATGCTTTAAAATAAATATATCAAGCCCAGATTTTAGATGAAGGGTAATCAGAACTTTTATGCGACACTATTGATTCCCAAAACAACAATATGTTTTCTCTCTGTTACATTGATCACTCACCTTTCACAAATGCCTTGTTTGTGGTATTCGGTTCATACATCCAATGAACTGGCCCACTGCACTCATTACTGTCTGACTCTACCACACACCATTCAACTACATATGTATTTACAGTGGAGCTAGAAGCTTTCCATTCTACCATCAGTTGGTCATTATGTGGGGCAGCACTGACATGGAGCACAGGTGGGAGTTCTACAATCGAAAACAAACAAAACAAAGCTCTCAGATTCATCATTAGAGAATTCTATTTGACAGAAATCAAACTTATATTTGAAAATCAAAACAATTGTTTCTTCACCAATTCTGGATTTATGCACCACCTAATGTATCAGTTAAATAAGTCATTTCCTCTCCCGTTATAATTTTGACTACAGACTGACCGTGGTCTGCCGAAAGTAGATGGAAATCTATTTATGCCTTGTCCCAGCCTCTGCTCATTTTGGGGACAGCTTACTGAGGTCAGCACCTATGTCTAACTTTACAAATGCAACATGGAATTGCCTTGCCTTATACTTTTGAAGGCCATACAATCTCCTACAATCTCCAAAGGATTGATGATCAGAGCAGACTTCACTGAGAGCTGGTGAGTGGGAGAGTTTTAAGGGTTTTTTGAAAAAAATTCTGAAGCCTGGATTTTCTTTCATTTAGCAAATAACTAAAGATTACTTTTAAGTTAGAATTTAAGGGCCCGATTTTCTGAGACATGCCCTTCTTTTTTACGAAAGAAGGGAGATGTGTATTTCTGAGAGGAGATTCAGCGCAGGGCTTCTTCAGGAATGCAGAGCCACACTTCCATTCTGTCAGAGGAAGGCAATCATGTCCACAATTCACAGAACTCTGCTGAATTGTATCCTGAAATGTAAAGGATCAGATAGCCACCTTGACAGCTGCTGTCAAACAATCACTAGATAAGTGTGATGTAAGCGTGCTGGCAGGGGAGGGTGTGAGACAGGTGGGGAGTAGAATGGCAGTTAAGGTGCCAGGTGGGTAGAGTGGCAGGATGCCAGGCAAGTACAGTGCCATCTGGTAAGACACCAGCTGAGAAGTCTATGGGGTGTCAGCTGAGTAGGTGACAAGGTGCCTGTTGAGTTGCGTCGCATTGGATCCAGCCTAGTGGAGGTGGGGGTGGATTGGTTCAGTGAGGCTGGTGACAGGGGGAGGGTTCGATCTGGCAGAGGCATCTATTCTAACGGCAGGAATGGTCTGTTAGGATGAGAAGGAACTAGGGGTTGGGTCCTGGGGTGTTCGCAAGTTCGGGTCTTTGGCAAGTGTATTGCTGGTTGTATGAGGTAAGTATGATTTTAGTTTAATTGTTACTCAGGAGTTAGACTGTTTTTATAAAAGTATAACTCCTCCTGAGTAACTATTTTACTACGCAATTTCATCAGAACCATGCAAAGTCTCTGATTTAAATGGAAACTTTTTGGAGCTTCAAGACGAAAGGAATTGCACAGCAGAAAATTCAATTTCACAGGAAATTCCTCTAGTGAAAGCTACAATTGGGAGTTCCCAGGATTCCAGTGTGCAACTCCAATCTACTTTAGAATAATGACGGTCTGGCCAGCAGAAAATCTAGGTCTAAATTTTCTTCCAGTCTGAATCAGGAGCATGCAAACTCTTTGAGAATATTTCCAGCTGATGAAAACTACTTTTCAGAAGATTAAGTTTTTGACAGCGAGACGATGCTTCATTTTAAGAGGTTATTTTGTCCTTTTTTTTTGAAGAGAAGTTTGTAAGGCAGAGGTACCGAACTGCCTACTGAAGACCTCTTGAGTAACAAGCTTGTGAGGCCCTCAGTTTTTTTTTAACAGCCTGAATGAGTGTGGCCAGCTCTCTCAGACCCACTTTTCTGGGATTTGGTTTTTTTAGTAACATTAGAAGATAATGGGGTCTCAAAAGAGTTGGGAGCTTCAGTGATTATCTTTTGGCTACTACTGTCTCTGAATCTTCTCTTGACTTTTTTCCCTCCTGGATTGGAGACCTGCTTTTTTAAAAAATTCACTCATGGGATGAGGGCATCGCTGGCTAGGCAGCATTTATTGCCTATCTCTAATTGCCCAGAGGGCAATTAACAGTCAATCACATTGCTGTGGGTCTGGAGTCACATGTAGGCCAGCCCAGGTAAGGATGACAGTTTCCTTCCTTAAAGGACAGTAGTGAACCGACAATCAACAATGGATTCACAGTCATCGTTAGATTCTTAATTCCAGATACTAATTGAATTCAAATTCTACCATCTGCTGAGGCAGGATTCAAACTGGGTCCCCAGAATGTTGTCTGGTCTCTGGATTAACCGTCCAGCAATAATGCCACTAGGCCATTGGCTATCGCAGAGCAACTGTGAGAATCTGTATCTGAATTTTCCTTTTTGCCAAGGGGTGTGTTTATGGGATGTTAATATATTGGAGCAGTTAATTAGAAATAGGTACTGTATCTATTATTCTGTTAAGTCTCCAATCTGTTAACTTATTCTTTCTTTGGTTCTATTTTAACTACAGTGTTTAAATAAATTGTGTTTTGCTTAACGTTGAGTAGTTTGACCAGTTGTATTGCATCTGATACACTTTACGTTTGCCTTTAAAATAAAAAAAGATTAGGGTCTAAGCTACCTTCTTAAAATATTTTTGTGGGGCTCTGGTTCAGTCCATAAAATCAGTGCATAAAAGAAGCCTCCCCTAGATGCAGTCTCCCCTGGCCTGAGAGCTGCTTTGTGGAACTGAGTGTTAAGTAGGAGTTTGGTGAGTGAGAGCGAGTTTAATGAGGAGAGAGGAGGTGCTTTTTGTTTCTACCTTTTTTAGCCTCCAGTAATTGGCCTCCTACTTTGATAAATAACTGGTCTACTATTCTACATATTGTAATTGTAATAAGTACTTTCTAAAAGTTACCATATGGGCGGTCAGCTAAGCTGTGTGGAATGCTCATTCTGTGGTAAGTGGGAAGCTATTGACACATCATATGTCCTTAGACCAACACATCTGCAGCAAGTGCCACCTGTTGCATAAGTATTGAGTTCTGGGATTTTTAACTTAAATAGTGACTTGAGTCATTGTATATCTGTGAGGCATGTGTGCATAACATGTCTAGGGAGGCAGCGACACCACAGGTTTGGAGCATACAGGCAGAGACAGAATAGGCGACAGTCAGGCAGTCTAAAAGGAATAGGCAGTGCAAAAGTCCCCTGAGTCTGTCTTCCTTGCTGATCAGTTTTCTGTTTTGGATACTGGTAAGTGTAAACTTCCTCAGGGAAGTGCAGCTAGAGCCAAATCTGTGGCACTACACGTGATTCAGCTGTATGGGAGGGGAGAAAAAGAGCAGCAGGGTGATAGTGATAGGGAGGTTTCATAGTCAGGAGTAGGATAGGCATTTAAACGGCAATGCATATGACTCCAGGATGACAATTTCCCTCCATGTTGCCAGGGTGGAGGCAGTCACAGAGCAACTGCGGGATATCCTTCTGGGGAAGAGCTAAAAGCCCAAGATTATGGTTCACGTTCATACCAATGACATGTGTACAAAGAGAGAGATAGGATACCATAAACAGGATGTGGAGATATTTGGAAGGAAGTGAAAATGTGGGTCTTCAAGAGCAGTATTTTCAGGATTAGTCCCAGTGCTAGTAAGCATAAAAATATGAGGATTGATTGGCCGGAGAATTGCTGAAGGAGGGAGATTATTACATTTTTGAGGCATTTGGACTGGGTCGGGGCACGACGACCTGTACATGCTGGGTGGGTTACACCTTAACAAGACTGGAACTAATATTCTCACAGGGAGATTTGATAGTGCTCTTAGGGAAGGTTTAAGCTACCTTGTTAGCATGATGGGAACCTGACGGATAACTCAAATTGGAAGAAAGGAGATAAATGGCAAGTGAAATTAGAAGGCAGGCAAAATGGGGGCTAGCATTAAATAAACTTCGAATGCAGAATAATGTCAAAAATTCATAGCTAAGGCTATTCTACCTGATTGCACACAGTACTTACAATTAGGCAGGTGATTTAAATATACAAATAGCGGTAAATGAGCATGAATTATTTGCCATTCTGGAAAGACCCTTGCTAGGTGACCAAAACAAGCAACTAAATATTTAGATAGAGCAGAAACAAAAGGAAAAGGAGGTGGTGATGCACTAAAAATAACAGAGGATCAATACATTAGAGAGGGAGGGTTTCAGCTTAGAAGAATAAAATGTGGGATCTGTTTGGATGGATCTATGAAACAGCAAAGAGCAGCAAAAATTGGTAGGAGTTGTTTATAGAGCATCAAACACTAATGGTAATGTGGGGCAGAGTATTGATCAGGAGGTAAGAGAAGTATATAGCATGGATAATACAGTAATCATGGATGACTTCAATCTACACGCAGACTGGGTAAAACTAATGAGTACTAAAGCCGTGGAGGATAAATACTTTCTAAAAGTTTCTGGAGTATGTAGGGGATTGCTTTCTAGAACATTATGTTGAGGAACCAACCAGAAAACAGATTATTTTAGACCTGTAATATATAATGGAAAATGGATAGTTAATAATCTTGTTGCAAAAGATCCTTTTAGGGACAAATGACAATAATATGATAGAATTTTATATCATTTTTGGAAGTGAGGTTGTCCATTCTGAAATGATATTAATGTTGAACACAGGAAGTTATGAAGTTATGAAGGACATTGTGACTGATGTGGATTGTACATTGGGCTTGTAATCCTGAATCTCAGCTTGATGTTCTGGATGGGGTCAGATCCCACCATGGTAGATGAAGAAATGTGAATTCAATTTTTAAAAATCTAGACTATTGGCAATCACGTAACCACTATTAATCATCATAAAAAGCTATGTGGTTCACTAATGGCCTTCAGGGAAGGAAATCTTTCATCCTTACCCAGTTAGGCCTACATGTGACTCTAGATCCACAGCAAAGTGGTGGGCAAACAGGAATGGCAATAATAGGAACAATATAGGAATTAGGAATGGGAGTAGGCAATCCAGCCCTTTGAGCCTGCTCCATTTTCCTGGCTGCTTCCCATAACCCTTTATCCCACTTTTCATCAGAAAGATATCTATTTCTTTCCAGAATCAGTTGATTGATTCCGCCTCCACTGCACTCTGGGGCAGTGAATTCCACAGATTCATAACCCTCTGAGAGAAGCAGTTTCTCTTCATCTCAGTTTTGAACTTGCCTCCTTTCAATCTATATCTATGACCTCTTGTTTCACAAGGCAGAACATTTGTTCAACACACACCTAAACAATCCCCTTTAGCATTTTATATATACCTCAATCAGATTGCACCCCCCAAACCCTCTCCCCCCAATTCTTTTGAACTCCAGCATATACAAGCCCAAGCTATTCAACCGCTCATCGTATGACAGCCGTTTCATCCCTGGAATCAATCTGGTTAACCTCCTCTGAACTGCCTCCAGTATCATCATATCTCTCCTCAAGTAAGGAGACCAAAACTGGATGCAATTCTCCAGGTGTGGTCTCACCAACATCTTACATAATTGTAACAACACTTCTTTACTTTTGTAATCCAGTCCTTTTGCAATAAATGCCAGGATCCCATTCGCCTGTCTTATTATATGTTTTGTCTGCACACCCACTTTCTGTTTTCATGCACAAAAATGCCCAGATCCCTCTGCACTGATGCACTTTGAATCTGTTTCCCATCTAAATAATAATTTGCCCTTTTATTTTTCCAGCCAAAATGGACAACCTCACATTTATAATGCTGGCCCAGCTAGTGCCACTCACATCCCAAGAACAAATTTAAATAAATTTAAAGAATTATGACACAATATACAACAATTATACAGTTCCTCAAGGCACAAAAACCCAAAAAAGTCAGTCAATTGTGGCTAACAAGTGAAAGGTTGTATGAGATTAAAAGAAAAAGCCTATAAACTTGCCAGAAATAATGGTAAATGAGGATTTTAGAAAGCTTTTGATAAAGCCTCTTATCTTAGGTTGCTTAGTGATAGTAAAGAATGTGGGATAGGAGATAATATGGATTAAGGCTTGGCTATCAGGCAGAAAACAGTAAGAATAAATAGGTCAATCTCACATTAGCAACATGTTATGAATGAGTTCACAATAGATATCAATGGTTTGGATGTGGGCCGAAATATAGTATTTCCAAGTTTGTAGATAGCACAAATCAAGATGGGAATCTGTGTTGTGTGAAAGTTATAAACTGGCTTCAGTAGGATTTGTATTGACTAATTGAATGAGCAAGAACATGGTGGATGGAATACAATTTGGAAATGTATGATTATTCACTTTGGTAGGAGGAACTGATGTGCAGAATATTTCTTAAATTGTAAGAGGTTAGAAGATGTAGATCCACAAATAGATACTGATGTCCACATCAATAAATTACTGTAGATTAACTTAAAGGTACAGCAGGCCATTAGGAAGTGTAATGGTAAGAGGATTTGAGTGCAGGAGGAGCAAAGTCTTGTTTCAATTGTAAAGCACCCCAGCTAGACTACACCTGGAAAACTGTGTCCAGTTTTGGTCTCCTTAGCTCAGGATAGTTTTTATTACCTATGAGGGACTGTGACAAAAGTTCACCACACAAGCTTCTGGTCCCGCTCTCTCTCTCTCACACACACACATACACTCTCGCTCCCGCTCTCTCACACACACACACACACACACACACACACACACAGTCTCGCTCCTGCTCACACACACGCACACAGTCTCGCTTCTATGAAGAGGCATCACTCAACATTACAATTCTTTCACCAATGAATCATCAACTTGTGTCTTTTAATTGCGACACTTACCTTTCTGATTTGCTGAAGGCACTATCAGCACAGATGCAGGGGAGTTCCCGACTGAGTTGTAGGCAGTAATTGCTATTGTGTATGATTCTCCAGAAAGAATGAGACTATACTCCAGATTAGTACTGTTGATGCACATCACTGCCTGACTTTTTCTTTCTTTTATCTTCAGTTGGTATCCTTTTATGACACCATTAGCCTCAGACTTGCTTGGTTCCTGTATGTTTAAATTAAATTTAAAATAAATATATATTTTTATTAAGTGTATCCCGTGCTTGTCTCTACTTTGCTTGTCCCAGGACCTTGGTGTTGTCCCAGTCGACGGTAATTCCTAGAAGCCTGGTTCTCCACCAAGAAAGCCATCAACAAACACATACAGCTCGACCCCATATACACTCCACAGCGAAGGAAAACCAGAAGTGAGGTAATCCAGCCCGATGGACACCAGAGTTTAAATAACAGGCGGGAAAACACAACAGCACTTCATCGGAGGCTGCACTGATGATGTTACCCAGCAGGGTAATGAAACATCTGCGGAAAAACAATGAACCAGCTCAGCGAGCCAACCAACCACAACATCCACAACCCGAGCTACAAATCTACTCTAGAAACTGAAAAAAATGTGCAACTATTGCATGTGGTCAGCACTAAAAGGTAAATGGTACAATAAACTTATATTGTAGGTTTTTATGAAAACTATTTCAGTTTAAAATATGTGCAATGGAAATTAAGTTTCAGGGAGGGCACTGCAGGCGACGTGGACTGTTTCAAGATCTATTGAAATATGCTATTTCATCTGAAATCACAAGAGGGAGACTTTTAGAATGGACCTAGCCTTGGGCAAAACATTGCTTCCTGCCTCAACATACACCAAAGTGGATGCCATTCAAATTGAGAACTATGGCATTTGAAACATTGGTTGCTTCAGCTTAAACATATCAATTGAGTTTAGCCCCAAAACTGAGGCAAATCAACCATCACAATTGGAAAGATGACTCATCAGTCTGAAACAGATAATTTAGAGGTTGACACATATAAACTGACCACCAAGGGGAATTACGACTGAGGAAAAAAAGTGTTCAGAAACCAAATACTGTTCATTTGAAGGAAAGCCAGGCAGACAGTCCCACAAACCACAGAACAGCTAGAGAAAACTCTTCCTCCCAAAGTCTGCTGTTCTGAAGAAACTATCTGTACAAGAAAACACCACTATTCAACTATAGAGGCCTTTTCACCTGCTAGAAATGTTAACCACTTCACTTCATCAACAAAGAACTCATGAAACAGGTGCTGACAGTACACCACAGAGATTTATAGAGAATTAAAACTTATTTTCTTTATGTCTTAACTTTACAGATGCCATGATTGAAATACTTAAAATCTTGTTAATACCTGCTCAGAGAACGAACTTTGATATTGTTCTCTCCAGCTGAATCAACATCTGACTGAGACTGTATCCCATTGTGTTGGCCCTGCTATATTCCAGCCTCTGAACACAGACACTATCTCAGCTTCTCACACATGTTACTACAAACAGCTACAACTGGGCTTCCCTAAGCCCAAACTCTGCAGTATGAAGTTACAACGGTTCCCTGGCTTTCTCTGAGTCCCAGTCCATTCAACAGCACAAAGTTAATGGCAGCATTTCAGCTGCAGGATGCTGACTGCCTTCTTTATCTGCTTTCAACTTACTCAGCCTTGAAATGATCTGTTCTGTTTGCATCTCCGAAAAGGGTTCCACCCCTGTTGTTAAACAGAATCTACTATATCAAAGCTTCGGTGCATTTTAAAGCCAAATGTTACAAGTTCCAGTCAACTAGAGGTCACCTTTACAGATCATACTCACAGAAACATACAAACAAAAAACATTACTAAAACATTGATTTTATCATGTGTCATAGAGTCATAGAGATGTATAGCACTGAGACAGCCCCTTCAGTCCAACTCATCCACGCTGACCAGATATCCTAAATTAATCTAGTCCCTTTTACCAGCATCTGGCCCATATCCATCTAAACCCTTCCTATTCATACACCCATCCAGATGCCATTTAAATATTGTAATTGTACCAGCCTCCTCCATTTCCTCTGGCCTTTCATTCCATACACACACCACCCTCTGCATGAAAAAGTTGTCCCTTAGTTCCCTTTTAAATCTTTCCCCTCTCACCTTAAACCTATGCCCTCTAGTTTTGGACTTCTTTGCACCTTGTCGACCTGATCACTCAAGACTCTGCGTGGCCTAAGTTCTCATTTCAGAGGTAGGAATTCCAACATTGCAGCACATCCCTCAGTAATTCCTTGGTGTATCAAAAATCTCTTGTCATGATAGTATTAAAGCATGGATTTGCTGTTAAGGGTCTAGGCCCGAAACGTCAGCCTTTTTGCTCCTATGATGCTGCTTGGCCTGCTGTGTTCATCCAGCTCTGCACCTTGTTGTCTTAAAGTATGGATTATTGGTTTTCAAATATTACCTGGGTTTTATAGGGAAAATTGTTTGACTTAAAATGAACACAGCAATCAAACGCCACAGAAGTTAACCAAGCTTTTGTGAAATCATGGAATAGAGAAAAATTCTGAACTGAATTAATTATTTTTATCACTAAACACTGAAATTGAGCGTAGAGTGACCAGAGAAATATCTTGCTTGCTGTGAAAAACCTATCAAACTTATGAGTACTAAGGTGCATAAATTTCAGTGCCTGTGTGATGCTAGACATATTGATCATTCCAAAGACTGCAAGAACATATCAAACAGCATATCCCTTTGATTGCTTGTAACAAGTGAGGTATTGACCATAACCAACCAGGCTCTGCTTACAAAACTCAAAACACAGCATCCAACATGAGATATAATTCTGTGATTGGACAGAATTTGCTAAATAATCCTCAACGTGCACAAATTATGCTGTCAACTAAATTAAAGTTGTCAGTTGGGTTGCAGTGTGACACACTTGCACATATTGGAAATGACATACATTAATAAACAGAATCCTATTGTTTGCAGACAGCATAGACATTGTGGCTGTGTCAACTTAACAAAAGAGTAATAGCCATTCTCTGGTTTATTTTTTAGGCAACATCTTGATCAATCAGTGTCAACATGACTGATTTAAAATTGAAACAAAGTTTGGCAGTTAACTGTCAGTCATAATCTAACTGGTACATTCTCTATGGCAGTGTCTCTCCAAATCAGAATCCACTTGCTACTCATTTAGCACTCTCACCTTATACAATATAAAAAGATTACTTTCCTCTCATCCTTCGTATGTCTTTCACACTGTCCTGACGAGTATAAGACAAAAAGCTTTGACTAATTGTGTCTTTTCTCAGCAATACTCAAGTTCTGCACCACCAAATGACACAGAGATAATTAAATAAAATGAAAGAACCGCAGATGCTGGAAATCCGAAACAAAAACAGAAATTGCTGGAATATCTCAGCAGGTGGGGCCCAAAATGTTAACTCTGATTTCTCTCCACAGATTCTGCCAAAAATGTTGAGATTTTCCAGCAATTTCTGCTTATGTGGAATTAAACTTCTTTAGCAGGAAGTGTAATATGAATATCCTTGCAGGATTTTTAAAATCAAAATTATAGAAAAAGCTTGAATTTTCAATTTAAAGAAATGCTTCATTAATTTTAATATCTAAGAAAACAGTTATAATCATTACCTTCCACATGATGAGTATTGATCTATTTTGTGAACTTGGATTTTTGTTTACTATCCAAAGATCTGGTCCTTGAGATGGTTCTAGGATAAAAAGTATAAGAGCGAACTTTACTGATTGTTCTTACAATAAAATAATGAAAGGGATGGATTGTAAAATTACTTAGATACACAAAACCTAAGTACTAAAGTGTACATAAAAAGAGTAACATTCCAATTTTGTCCCCCGATGTGGTGCCTTGACCGCTATAAATGTACCCTGGAAGTTTAGATGTATAATTGCCTGACCAAGATTTTAAGTACAGGAAAATAACATGCACCATAGGCTTGAATTTCTGAAAAATGTAAGCAGTTGGCAAAATTATGGGCTGGCAGCAAGTACAATCAGGAAAAAATTTCCAATGGAAAACCAATTTTAATGAGGCTAAGTAACGTTCCCTTCCCTATTCCACTTGCACTGAGTTTTAGCCATTCACACTCAGCACTTCAGGGTGATCAATGAAGCAAGCATCACAACTATGTGTATACCACAGAAACAAATGTCCATCTTCTACCTGACATTATTGCCTTTTACCTCACAAACCTTAATATCTATCTCGTGATAGCAATGACCTTTATTTATACAGTCTCAGTCACGTATTAAAACAAAGCAAGGTCCTTCATAACAGCATTATATTGGAGAATTAGATACACGGATAATATTAGGGCTGATGACCAAAAGCTTGGTCAAAGAGGTAGATTTTCAACAATGTCATTAAGGAAGTGAGACAGAGATTTTTAGAACGTTCCAGACCTAAAGGCCATGACAGCTGAAAGTATGGTCACAAATGGTGGAGATTAAAGTCAGAGTTTCTCAACAGGTCTAAATTAGACAGGTATCTCTATCAAGGAATGAGGGACTATGCAGATTATTGACTTGCAGAGGGGAAAACTATGAACAGATTTGAAAATAAGGATGAGAAATTCTAAACGAAAGATTTGCTTCACTGCAATCTGATATCAGTCAAGGATGACAGGGATGATGGATGAACAGGACTTGAGTATGAATTAGGACATAGACAGCAGAGTTTGGAGTGCCCTCAAGTTTACGTAATGTAGACCTTGACAGGCTGGCCAGAAGCGTATTGGAATGGTGAAACCTAAAGGAAAAAAAAATGCATAGATGAGGTTTCAGGAGCACTCAAGTCAGTCAGAGCTGGATGGTCTTAGTGATGCTGCAGATCTGTGATCAGGAGTTCAAATCAGGGTCAAATATGACATCATGATTATGAACAAGCTGGTCAGTATCAGTTGCCAGGGAGGAGAATGGTGTCAATGAACTTTGTAGTGTCTTCAGTCTTCGCAACCCATTTGACAGTCTCCCACAATAAACCTACCTGTAAACTTGACACTTAACTTTTCAGTTTTACCAAGAAATTTGAAACTCACTGAATACTAAATAAAGCTGGGCCTGTATCTGCAGAATGTAAAGGTAAGAGGATTCAACATGATATCTTACAGGATCCACCATGGCATTTATCACGACAAGTCATGGCACAACAAGCTATGGGAACCCTCAAGATGCTTAAGAAGTATGAGATGAACACTTGTCACACCATAACATATAAGGCATTCAGCCATTTCTGAAGAAGGGTCTATGCCTGAAACGTCAGCCTTCCTGCTCCTCTGATGCTGCTTGGCCTGCTGTGTTCATCCAGCTTTACAACTTGTTATCTCAGATTCTCCAGCATCTGCAGTTCCTACTATCTCTTAAAAGTGTTCTATTCAGTGATGCTAAACCAAAACTGTTGTCTAAGCAATTGTTGATTTATGGGACACAATTTTTGGGAAAATTGAAGAACATGGGTAGTTATTAAATTCAGCTGAACCCCTTTGCTCTAGTTAGCTAGATTGCATCCTGAGATAAAATCAACCCCCTGTATATAGTTTTGAAACAATAAATAGAACAGTAGGACAAATTATTTTATCTGTTACATATTCCAATAGGAATATGATGAATAGAAAATTAATGATAACTTTTTTATTCACTCATTTTGGGCATCACTGAGGAGAAGGGGATAGTATTTATTGCCCATCACTAATTGCCATTGAGAAGGTGTTGTGGAGCTTTATTTTGATCTGCTGCACTCCATTTGGTGTAGGTCGACACACAACTATATTAGGGAGGAACTTCCAGGTTTTTGACTCAATGATACTGAAGGAATGGCAGTATACTTCCAAGTCAGGGTGGTGAGTGGCTTGGAGGGAATTTGCAGGGCATGGTTCCTGCGTATCTGCTGCCCTTGTCCTTCTGGATGACAGGGGCCATGGGTTTGGAGTCTGCTGTCATGAAGGGGCCTTCATGAATTTCTGTAGTGCATTTTATGGGAGGGTCAGTTGTGGAGAGAGTGAATTTTGTGGATGTGGTTCTGATCATGTGGGCTGCTTTTTCCCGAAAAGTGTCAAGCTTCTAGAGTGTTGTTGAAGCTACAATCATCTGGTCAACTAAGGAATAGTTCATTCCACTCCTAACTTGTGCCTTGTAGATGGCGGACAGAGTTTAGAATGTAAGAAGGCACTTGCTGAAGGAGTCTTAGCCTCTGACTTGCTCGTGTAGCCTCAATATGAATATGGTGAGTCATGAAGGGTTTCTGGTCAATGGTAATGCCCAGCATGTTGATAGTGTGGGATTCTCTTTATAGCTTCAAGAGGTAAATAATTACTCTCAAAATAAATGCCTTATAAAAGGCATTAAACATTTCATTGATTTATTAATAATACCATTGAATGTCAAGGCCATTGATGGTTAGATACTCTCGTGTTGGTGATAATCATTACTTAGCAGTGGTGTGGCACAAATGTTACTTCAGACCTAAGTTACGGATCGTGAATCTTTGAACAAGAAAAGAGATTTCTGATTCACGGTAATTATGTCAGTCAGTTTGCAGTATTGGATTTGCAGTTCCATTATAATGCAGTCAACAATGTTAGATTAGAGGCTTTAGATTTTGGGCAGCAATATGACTGCAAAACAAAATAGTTAATGAAAAATTTGGTTGTCTTTGAGTTACTTGCAGTTTTCATTTCCATCAAACAGAAGTTAATTTGAATGTTGTCAATAGAAACAGGTTTTGCAATCTACATACGATCTTCAGATGTAGTTCCAGTTTTCTCCAAACTCCAATCACTCCAGTAACCTTTACCATCCTGTTTCATGCAACGAATTGCCACAATATACTTTGTAAATGGCTTTAGGCCTTCAATCATGAAAAACTCTGCTTGGGAAGATGTTTCATTTAGTTCAACCTACAGGAGAAGGAACAAAAAAAACGTGTTGGTTGAAGGGCATTCAAATTCATATTTCTATGATGATTGATGTCTCAATGACCATCTAAAGGTGATTAGATTGTGCATTGGGTTATAAATTGACCTTTTCAAGCCCAAACCAAATTGGCTGGATGAAAATTTCTTTCAGCACATGCATCACTTGTTTGTAAAACTGCGTCTAAATATCCATGATTGTGGGGAGAAGAAAGTAAATCACTCAGTTAAAAGAAGGGCAATGATACAAAGTCCAATTTTTCATACTGTTTACCCTTTCAACCGTAACTGTTAAAGCAAGTCTGGAGATACATTGCTAACACAGTATGCCACATAATAGAGGACAGGTTAACATTTAAGATTCAGTTCTTTATAGCTTCAAGAGGTAAATAATTAGTCTCAAAATAAATGCCTTATAAAAGGCATTAAACATTTCAGAGATTTATTAATAATCATCTCCTTTTTCTTAGCTTCAGTATTTTCATTAAGTCTTTTCCCATCAATAAACAGTTAAAGTACTGTACCTCTATCCAGTCCGCAGTCCCAGCCATTCGATAACGGAGGCAATATTTAAGTGGAAACACTTTTGGCAATTTCAAAGGCTTTTTCCATCTCACTATTAGTGATCTGCTCAAACCATGCCCAGGTTGTACTGATGTGATGAAAATGGGTTCAGGCTTGACTAAATAAAGTGAGTCCAAAAGGGTAATTATTAAATCCTTGAAATAGTGACTATAGCATAGATGCATTTTGGCCTAAATCTTCCAGTCTGCAGATAGTTGGAGACCAGATTTGTCCTCAAAGATATGTATTGGAAATTCATGAACATCCTGATGCACTGGATCATGGGAATTTCCTGGGAAATTTCAACTTCCGACAGATAATCCCCCAGCTCCATGGGACCCTGTGCGAAAGTGTCCAGCTTGATTTAAATTTGGAGACTTGGAAGATATCTGATTTACTTACCCGAATAGTTGTTTAGGAAACATTAGACAGATTAAATTAATGTCCACCTCCTGGATAATTATGCAACCTACGTCTCTGATTCCTCACTGAATCACAGCATGGACCCTCATGCCTCCTCCCCAACATTCAATTGACTCCCTAACTCCTACCTGAGTCCCTTGACCACTCAATTCTCTGAAGCCTTAACAATCCAGTCTTTCCTGACCTTCCAACTCCCCTGACCCTCCAAATACACCCATGACCCCCCAAATCCTCAACTCTCCATCTTTCCGTGAAGTCATGACTTTGCTTGATCCAGCCTTGCCCTCCTATCACCCTATGATGCTCTCCATGTTGTTACCCTATGCATCCTAGCACTCTGCTATTCTACCATTTACATTCTGCCAACCTTTTCACCCTACTACCCCGACTACCTACCACTTATTTCACTTACATTCATTCAACGACACAATGTAAAGGTATTCAAGAGCTCCAAAGTATCAAGTATGATCATGAATGAAGAATTGCTAGCATATGGTAGCCAGTGCCATAAAAAGGGGCCTGGAATGGGGGTCCAGGCCAGACATGCAGACCTCTGTCATTGAGTAAACAATTTGGAGCAGAGTAACAATCCCACAGTGAACGCAAATTCTTGGAAGATTTAGCCCAATATTTTGTATATAACTATAAGATTTATTACGTTACAATAATTAACACTTTAAACATTGTTATGTTTCCATTAATTTAATATATTATGTACAATATCACAATAATATACTTTTGCAGGTTGTCATTTCCAGGAAGGCTCCTCATTACATGCAGTTACAGTATTACCTGAATTCATTGTATCCATCACTAGGTGATCTGAGTCTGTTTTCCCAAAATTATTTTTGGCTTCCACCCAAATGATATAATCAACATAATAATGAAAATCTGGATAAAAAATTGTGCATGAGTTCTTGAAATTTTCTGGAATGCAGCTTTGTAAAGGAATTGAAGGAATGCTAAAAAAAATGGAGTAAATGGATGGTTACAAAATACGCCTCGGACTGATTTATAGAAACTTTTGCTCTACTTTTTAATCTCTGTCATCTACTTCAGAAAGTTCATAAATTAATTTTGACCATTGTAAGTAGGAGTCAATCTGTTTCTAACCTCTACATTATATAATGAATGCATGTATTCCATTTATGGATACCTTTTCTTGCATAATGTTTCCTGTAATTTACTCTTCACTTTTCTTCATTTCTTGGCCATGAATTTAGAAGACCATTGGAACTGAGCTGGGAGGCAGGAAGGGTGGGAAAAGGCAAATGGAGGGAAATGTTTATGACATCTGGTGATAATCCCGTCAGTGGGAATGTACCCACTGAAAAGAAATGGGGGGGGGGCGGGAGGTGGCAGCTAAATAATTGACACATTGGCAGCCATTTTACTGGGCTGTTGGCATTTTGCTGACATTGGAAAAATCCTCTGTCACATGTGGTGTCCACCAGCTTCAGTGGAGCAGCATTCCAGTGGCTTCCCAGAAGGTGGGACAGGATTCATTTCCAAAGGCTCCAGGTCTCAGCAAAGGGAACCAACAGCACCGAGTGTTGCCTCGGGTGACCATGACACCACTACTGGAGGGTTCAAGCCTCTGATCATTGGCATCTGCTTGCCTTCCCTTTGCACATCAGTAAACCACCTACCAGTCCTTCAAGATCACCTCAAGATCCTGGCCAATGTGATAAGCTTAGAAATGAGATCCTGAAAATACTCAGGTCTTCCAGATCAGTCCTGCTTTAAATTGTTCATTTTGAAGGAAGAGAAGAGCAGAATATTACTTAAAATGGAGAAAACCTGCAGAAAGCTGCAGCACAGAGGGACCTGGGGCAGGGCAGGGGTACTTGTACATGAAACACAGAAAGCCTATATACAGGTGGAGCAGGCAATGAGGAAGGCTAATGTATGTTGAGACTTATTTCAAGGGGTTGGAGTATAAGGGTAAGGCAGTCTTACTGCAACTGTACAAGGTGTTGGTGAGATGGCACCTGGAGAACTATGAGCAGTTTTGCCCCCCTTATTTAAGAGAAAAAAATATTATTTCATTTGAGGCAGTTTAGAGAACGATCACTAGGATGATCCCTGGTATGGAAGGATTGTCTTATGAGCAAGAATTAAACAGGTTGGGTCTCTGCTCACTGGAGTTTGGAAGAATGAAATGTAATCTCCTTGAAACATGAAGAGTTCTTAAGGAGTGTGACAGGGTAAAAGCTGAGAGGATTACTTCCCCTCATGGGAGAGTCCAGGACAGGAGAACATAGTCTCAGAATTAAGGAGTAGTCAATGTAAGACTGAGCTGAGGAGGAATTTATTCTCTGAGTGTTGTAAGTCTTTGAAACTCCTTATCACAGAGATCTGTGAGGGCAGACTCCTTGTTAGGGTTAGGCTTAGGGTTAGGGTTTGGTTTAGGATTAGGGTTAGGGTCAGGGTTAAACAGATAGATTCTTGATCAGTAGAGGAATCAAGGGTTATGGGGAAGGGACAGGAAAGTAGATATGAGCTGTGTTGGATCAGCCATGATCCTATTAATTGGCGGAGCAGGTTTGATTGGCCAAACAACCTACTCCTGTTCCTATTTTTTGTGGTCTTAAATCTGGTGGAAATGCAACAGTCAAGAGTTTGACAAAATTGCACATACACAGGTCTGAAGTCATGACTTCAGCTACAGGGGGTCTTTTTGCCTCATCTGCCCTGTCAGGTTGGGAAAGCCGTATCCTTGGTCAAGTGTTCCTTTCCATGGTCCTGAACTGTCCAAGGCCATGTGTTCAAACCATTTTTGTTATGGCCAGCACAGACTGGAATAGGAATCAGCACCACTGCAGAAGAGATGATCCACTTACAATGTCTAAGCCAGCAACTTTGACCACTTCCAATGTCTATAAATGCTTTGGATTATCTTGAGATTGTGAATGGTTTTATATACATACAAATTCTTTAATGTTACTAACTTTCCATCATCACTATCTATACAATTTTTTACTTCAGACCATATGTTTATGCTTTTCCATAAAATTAGCAAAATTAAATACCCACAACAACTTCAGTTGATATGTGGTTGTGATGTGTTTGTCTTTCCCTGGATTCCACCAACAGGTCATGTTTTTATCATAATACGTTATGCAGGACAAATTTGAGGGCTTCTCGGGTGGCCCTGGAGAGAAAGAACAGTTGATTTTTAATACCCACTTCACATAGCTAATATTTTAATTAAATATGACAGACAAGACAAACTAAGCTTTTCATTGCAAGATTCAAGAATTGCCATGTAATTATTATAATGGGCTTTGTTACACATATCGAGCAAACTTTTTCTGGCTCCCTGCACAGAAGGCTTGTGTCTCTTTAACTCACGCTACTTGGTATCTCACAGAATTCCTGTGAAAGTTTGTTTTGTAAAACTTCCTCCTATTGTGCTTTTCCTGTTCTGCTAAAGCTACCTGCACCTTTTTATTAAATCAACAGAAAATGTATAGCTAGTCTGAGTTATCAGTCACAGAAATTCCTAAAGTTCATTTTAAAAGAAATGCTGATGAATTACAGTTGTTTGTGTCTTTGGTATCCATGATGTGGAGATGCTGGTGTTGGACTGGGGTGGACAAAGTCAGAAGTAACATGCCACCAGCTTAAAGTCCAACAGATTTACTTAAAATCACAAGTTTTTGGAGCACTGCTTCTTCGTCAGGTGAAGTGGAAAGAGGCGCTCAGGCACAGAATAAAAAGGCGGAGAGATAATGATAATATAATTCCAGGTAATTAGAGTGTCAACAGGTAAGTACAAATAGTGTGAGTAGAGTGTCGATGGGCTGAATAATAAATCTTTGCAAATAAAAAATGAAAGAACTGCGGATACTGCAAATCAGGAAACAAAACAGAAATTGCAGGAAAAGCTCAGCAGGTCTGGCAGCATCTGTGAAGGAAAAAACAGAGTTAACGTTTCAGGTCCGGTGACCCTTCCTCAGAACTTTGCAAATCTTTACAAGTAATTAGTTCATAGGTCATCCTTTCAATTGTTATTCAGCTGGCAACACTTTACTCGCATTGTTTGTATTAATCTGTTGACACTCTTGATTACCTGCAAAGACCTGTTATTCAGCCCGTCGACACTACTCACACTATTTGTACTTATCTGTTGACTCTCTTAATTACCTGGAATTATCCCGCCTTTATCTCTCCGCTTATATATTCTGTGCCTGGTCACCTCTCTCCACTTCACCTGATGAAGGAGCTGTACTTTGAAAGCTTGTGATTTTAAATAAATCTGTGAGACTAAAACCTAGTGTTCTGAGGAAGGGTCACCGGACCCGAAACATTAACTCTGTTTTCTCCTCCACAGATGCTGCCAGACCTGCTGAGCATTTCCAGCAACTTCGTTTTTGTTGTTGTTGTTAAAACCTATTGTTGTTTGACTTCTGACTTTCTCTGCTATAGAATGATATGGTCTCATATGTACTACTTCTGTGGTATTCTGAGGGGTAAGGGACTGATGCTACCCTAAGAAATTGCAATATTACAGTGGGCTACCTCCAGCCATAGCCATCCAATTGGGTTTGGGTGCTACATTTTTTTCCCCAATGTTTGCTGCAATAGCAGCTTTCAAGCTTGACGTTGCAGTCTTCAGAGTCTGAAATCCAATTTGCCTAATCTAGACCCTGGTGGCAACAGACCAGGAAAGGGGAGTCACTGACTGGGCCCTGGCCAGTTATGGTTTGGGTGTCTGCTGCAGTTATTAATGGAATTGGTTTAAAATTTATGCAAAGGTTTGTAGTTGACAGTCACTTATCATCTAACTGTTGCATTCTCCATGTCAATGCCTCGACCAGTCAGAATCTATTTGCCAGCCAATCAGCACTTTTCTCTCATGCATGTAGATGAATTTTTTCCTAACAGTGAGATTCTTGCAATTTGTCCTGTTGAGTGCAAAGTGAAAAGCTTCAGCAAAATATGTCTTTTTTTCAGCAATGATTCTCCAGTCCTGCTGACACCAATTTTTCCTCATGATCTTGGACAGTATAACACATTTGTCCGCCACAGTAGGATGAAAAATTATATGGATCTAGCCAGAATTCAGCCCAAGATATCTTGGCTGTACTCCAGTATTCAATTTCCCAAGCTGCCAGATTTGATGCAGAATGCAAAACACACAGTTGGGTTGCACTTACCACTGCACAAACATATACTGAATTGTAGACAGGTTAGCCATTTGACATAGTCCCTTAGATGCCACATAATAACCACTGAAAAGCAAAACACAATTCATTAAAAACAACAGCATTTAAAAAACTTATCAAGGGACTATTTCCTCCCATTTTTTACTGGCAGAAGCAGACTTGTAAGCTGAATACCTGCTAGGCGAATTCATAATGGATAACAAACAGATGGTAGACCAGTTGCGCAAATACTTTGGATCTGCCTTCACTAAGGAGGACACAATAAGCTTCCAGAGATGAAAAACAAAGTTGCTGGAAAAGCTCAGCAGGTCTGGCAGCATCTGTGAAGGAGAAAACAGAGTTAACGTTTCGGGTCCAGTGACCCTTCCTCAGAACTACCTTCCAGAGATGCTAGGGGATAGAAGGTCAAGCATGAAGGAGCAACTCAAGAAAATCCTTATTAGTCAGGAAATGATATTGGGGAAATTGATGGGATTAAAACTCGATAAGTCCCAGGGTCTGATGCTCTGCATCCCAGAGTACTTAAGGAAGTGACCCTAGAAATAGTGGACACATTGGTGATCATTTTCTGGTATTCTATAGACTCTGGAAGAGTTCCAACGGACTGGAGGGTAGCTAATGTAACCCCACTTTTTAAAAAAGGATGGAGAGAGAAAACGGGGAATTATAGACCGGTTAGCCTGACATTGGTGATGGGTAAAATATTGGGGTCAATTATTAAGGATGTAATAACTGAGCGTTTGGTAAGCAGTGACAGGATCAGTTCTAGTCAGCATGGATTCACTAAAGGGAAATCATGCTTGAGAAATCTTCTGCAATTTTTTGAGGATGTGACCTGTAGAGTGGACAAGGGTGAATCAGTTGATGTTGTGTACCTGGACTTTCAAAGGCTTTTGACAAGATCCCACACAAGAGATTAGTAAGAAGAATTAAAGCTCGTGGTATTGGAGGTAATGTATTGATGTGAATAAAGAACTGGTTGACAGACATGAAGCAGAAAGTTGGAATAAACAGGTCCATCCCAAAGTGGCAGGTAGCATTGTATGGGGTACCATAGGTTTCAGTGCTGGGACCCCAGCTGTTCACAATATACATTAACAATTTGGATGAAGGAATTGAATGCCATATTTCCAAATTTGCAGATGACACTAAGCTGGGTGGCAGTGTGTGCAGTGAGGAGGATGCTAAGAGGCTGCAGGGAGACCTGGACAGACTGGCTAAGTGGGCAAGTACTTGGTAAATACAATATAATGTGGATAAATGTGAGGTTATCCACTTTGGTGGCAAAAACAGGAAGGCAGATTATTATCTGAATGGTGGCAGTTTAGGAAAAGGTGAGGTGTAACGAGACCTGGGTGTCATGGTGGAACAATCGCTGAAGGTTGGCATGCAGGTGCAGCTGGCAGTGAGGAAATCTAATGGTACCCTGGCCTTCATAACGAGAGGATTTGAATATAGGAGTAAGGACATCTTGTTGCAGTTATACAGGGCCTTGGTGAGGCCACACCTTGAGTATTGTGTGCAGCTTTGGTCTCCTAGTCTGAGGAGGGATATTCTTTCTACTGAGGGAGCCCAGCGATGGTTCACCAGACTGATTTCTGCAATGGCAGGATTGACATATGAAGAAAGATTGGATTGACTGGGCTTGTTCTCGCTAGAATTTAGAAGAATGAGGAGGGATCTCACAGAAACATATTACATCCTGATGGGACTGGGCAAGCTAGATGTAGGAAGAATGTTCCCAATGTTGGGTAAGTCCAGAACCAGGGGTAACAGTCTATGAAAAAGGGGTAAGCTATTCAGGACTGAATTGAGGAAGAATTTCTTGACTCAGAGAGTTGTGAACCTGTGGAATTCTCTACCACAGAAAGCAGTTGGAGCCAGTTTGTTAGATATATTCAAGAGGGAGCTGGACATGGCCCTTGCGGCTAAAGGGATGAAAAGTATGGAGAGAAAGTGGGAATGGGATACTGAAATTGCATGATCAGCCACGATCATATTGAATAGTGGTGTAGGCTCGAAGGGCTTGCTCCTGCACCTGTTTTCTATGTTTCTAGGTAAAAATTGGACTAGTTTAAAGAAAAGAATCATAGAAAAGGTATGGCACAGGAAGAGGTCATTTAATACATCATGTCTGAGCTGGCTCAAAAATAAACTAGCAACCTTTGCAATCTCAGCTTCCAGCACATGGTCCATAACCTTGCAGGGTACAGCATTTGAGGTGCAGACCTAGGTACTTTTGAAACAAATTGAGGGTTTCCATCTCCACCATCAAACCAGGAAGTAAATTCCAGACACCCCACCACCCTCTGGATGGAAAAGATCTACCTCATTTCCTCCCTAATACTATCAATCACCTAAAATCTGTGCTGCTGGTAATTAACTTCTATGCTAGGGGAACAAGTCTCTTTCCCATCTCTTCTATTTGGGCCCTCAGAATTCTGTACATTTCATTTAAGTCACTCTTCAGACTCCTTGTTGTAAGGACAACAACTCTAGCTATTCAATCTTTCGTCCTATCTGCAATTTTCAAGCCCAGCAATATTTTTGTATATTGCCTCAATAACTCATCAGCACATAGGCTTTCACCTCAGTGGGCACTCCAACTATGCAAACTTTGCTGTAACATTATTTTAGCTCAAGGGCCTCTTTTTTTTACCAATAGGGTTGTGGAAATCTAGAGTTCACCATCTCAAATTAGAGACTAGAACCTACATTTAACATTTAATAAGTATTCAGAGGAACGCTTGAAATGTCTTCACACTCAAAGCTATGGGCCAAGTGCTGAAAAATGGGATTCAAGTGGACATGTGGTTGATGTCTGTCAAGGACACAATGGGCTGAAAGGCTTCTCTCCATGCTGTAAAACCTATGTTTTGCTCCAGATCAATCATGTCCTTCCTGTAATGAGGTGACTAGGCATGTACACAAAGTTCCAGCTGTAGCTTAGCCAGCACTTTATTCAGTCCCAGCATTCCATCCCTGCTTTTGTATTCTACCTCTTGACTAACAAATGAAAGCTGGTGGAAATCCATAGGCTCCTAAAGAATTATTGGGAAATTGACAATTTTGACAGGGAATTCCTCTGTTTGGAATCCATGAGAAAGCCCCTTGAAGAGATTCTGGAGAGTTCTGATTGACTTCATAATAGTTACCCAAGGAAATATTCGAGGATTAGAAACCTACTGTAAATCCTAGGTAGCTATTAAACTGAAACCCTGTATCACTACTCACTACTGCGCCCCCACCAGAAATTTGTGGAATGTCTGCGAGATGGTTTTTTTTCGAACAGATTGTGGTGGATCTCACTAGAGAACAGGCATTTCTGGATTTGGTGATGTGTAATGAGGCAGACTTAATTAGGGAGCTGAAGATGGAGGAAACCCTAGGAGACAGTGACCACAATATAACAGAATTCACTCTGTAGTTTGAGAGGGGGAGATTGAATCAAATTAAAGGTGCTACAATTGAGTAAAGATAACTACAAAGAAATGAGGGAGGAGCTGGCCAGAGATGATTGGAAGGGGACCCTAGCAGGGAAGACAGTGGAGCAAAAATTGCAGGAGTTTCTGGGGAGGCATGGCAGAAATTCATCCTGAAGAAGAAGACACATAGTAATGGGAGCATGAGGCAACTATGGCTGACAAGAGAAGTCATGGACAGCAAAAAGCAAAAAAAAAGCATCCAATGTGGTGAAGATTAGTGGGAAGCCAAAGGATTGTGATGCCTTTAAAAACCAGCAGAGGATAACTTAAAAAAAAATCATTGGGGAGAGGATGAAACATGAGAGTAAGCTATCTAGTAATATAAAAGAAGATTGCAAGAGTTTTTTTTAAGATATATAAAAGGTAAGAGGGAGGCAAGAGTGGATATTGGACAGCTGGAAAATGAGGTTGAAGAAGTAGTAATGGGAAACAAACAAATGGTGGAGGATATGAATTAATATTTTGCGTCAGTCTTCACAGTGGAAGACACCAGCAACATACCAGCAACATACTTGAAGAGAGTTAGGGGACAGAGGTGAATGTAGTGGCCGTCATTAAGGAGAAGGTATTGGGGAATCTGCAAGGTCAGATGATAGATAAATCATCCAGATCAGATGGACTAGGGTTCTGAAGGAGATAGCTGAGGAGACTGTGAAGACACTGGTGCTGATCTTTCAGGAATCACTGGAGCCAGGAAGGGTCCCAAAGGACTGGAAAATGGCTAATGTAACAGATAACACTGTGTGGAGCTGGAGGATCACAGCAGGCGTTAGAGGAGCAGGA